AAGGAGGAATTGCCAATAGATGCTTGTCTTTTGGCATCAACAGACAGAAGGCAAGATATGGTATTTCTTTTTTGGGCTAGTGAAATAAAATGTAAGATCATTGTGTATGACATTAGTTAAGATTGTTTGCATTCTGAGGGTTAAAATTTTCGAATATGTTTTAATATTACCATTGAATAGGGATATTGGGTGAGATTAGGCTTCCTGGGTTGATGTCATCTTTGTTAGGATTCAAAATGACTGAAATCTGGGCAGTTAGGGATTGAAGAGAGAAAGACAAGATTCAGATACTGAGTTTAAGGCATAAAGATAGGCAGAAGAGTGTTTGGATGCCAACGTCTTAATGAAATGATTACATAAGGCTCTGGAGCTTTATCATTTTTTAATGAGTTTAATAACTTGAACAAGAAAATAGTAAATTAAGGAATGTTTGCATTTTCTGATCTACGAGCGAGGTATCACAAACGTTTGAAGAAATACAAGGAGTAGAGTCAATAGAGAAGGGGCTTGGATACTCGATTGAATATTGTACAAGGAGGAGTAACAATCATGGAAAGTTTATAAGATATCTGAGTTTGTATGCTCTAGTCCCTTATTAGGTGATTGTCTAGACAGAATGTTTGCTGTCTTTGACTGGAGATGTACATTTCTAACCAGTAGGGAACCACATTTATTACTGTCTTTAAAGTAAGTTTTTGAGAATCTATCCTTAACATGTAAGAATATCTAGACTAGTAATTGCAATAACTGAGAGAGTGTTTGATAATTTAGTCCTGAATCTTTGATATGTTGTCTTTGAAGAAGACCAAGTTCATTGATCTTTTGGAAAAAGTGTAGCACTACCCCCTCAGGGGCCGCTGAGTAATCTTAGGGTTCCGTGTCTGTCTTGACCCTGCTCTGGAAGCCCAGCCTCTACTGACACCACCTTAAACCTCTGACCATAAGAATCCTCTGGCTGCAATCATAAAAATAGACTCACACGCTATTTAGAGTGAACTGATATTTTGAATGTATTGAGACTGTTTCTAGGCACAGTAAAGCAACAGGATAACATATGCATAAAATAACAGCTGTCACTCTAATAATTTCAAGTAAAGGTCACAACAAAGCACAATCTCAACCAGTTCTAAAGGTCCCGCAATTCAGAATTTAAATGATACCCCAGTTGTACCCTCAGGATGTTTCCTCCCCAGTGAGTAGAGTAGAGTAGAGAGGCTAACTCACTTTGGGCTCTCAGTGGCTGTGTCAGGGCTCCCGGGTATGACCAGAGGTGTGTGACTGACGCAGGGAAACGCAGACTTCAGATATGTTATAAACAATGTAATTTATTAACACTAACCATACAAACATAAACGCAGTGCAATACTAAAACATAACACAGTGCAAACAAACCAACCAACCACCCACAGATAACAGTACATACAATGCAAGCGTCGTCAGGCAGGCCGGGTCAATATCAGTCGGGCAGGTAGGTACAGGGGGAGCAAGCGGAGAATGGTTGGGGTCACAGGCCAGGTTCAGCAGGTAGCGGGCAGCGTGGTACAGAGGGTCAGGCAGAGGAGAATGGTCAGACAAGCCAGGGATCAGAGCAGGGTCAGCAGAGAATCAGACAGGAACAGAGAGCAGGAACAGGATACAGGGCCCAAGAGAAACACAACACCAAGGCAGAGTCTGCAGGTCTGAATGTCCCTTAAATACACCAGTATAATTAGTTCCAGGTGTTTGACTGGCTGCAAGGTTGAGTCTCTGATTGCTGGGAGCACCCGCTGGCCAGCCCTGGTACTGCAGCTCATAAGGCAGCTGAGTCCCACTATTGCTGGCCAGTCCATTCCTGACAGGCTGATATCTGAGTCTAATACTAAGAAATAAAAGCTCTTCAATTAAATAGACTAATGTCCCTTTAACTGCAGTGTCTGATCTTCTGCGCAGTCGATGGGGCCTAGTTGGTACACATAAGGATTCAAATCCTCCTTGAGGCAAAGGATAGATGTTCCTTAAAGTGGAGCTCCACCCAAAAGGGGAAGTTCCGCTTTAAGTCCCCCGCTCCCTCTTAAGGATTGGCACCTTTTGGAAGTGGGTACCCAAATTTGACAGGTACCTTCTCCCACTTCTGCTGCAATCGCCTAAGGCGATCAGAAGTGGAAGTTGTCCTCCCCCTTCCCTCCCCGTAGTCTTCTGGGATGTATGACAGGTCCCAGAAGACTATAGGGCCATTCACTAAGTGCAACGCTTCTCGCACATGCGCAGTGGGCACAGCTGGGTGCTCACACTGAAGATGCCAGGGAGAGAAGATGGCCCGTGAAACCAGCCATGGTGAGGACACCGCTGGACCAAGTGACAGGTAAATGACTGTATTTTAAAAGTCAGCAGCTACAGTTTTTGTAGCTGCTGACTTTTATTCTATTTTTTTCAGCTCGAACTCCGCATTAATACAGGGTGAACACAAAGGGAAGGTGCTGCCCCTTTATATGATGTTGTATTCAAATAGTACCCCTTTAGCACACACAGGATGAGGGGTAAAATCTAGCAGAAAATAGAAATGGGCTAATCACTTTTCTGTGGAAATGGATTCTTCTTTGGGCCACACTGGCAAACTGCAGCAATGCAGGAGCTTCTTGGCAACTGGGCAGACTGTAATGCGAGGAATAATACAGTTGGGCCTACAGGGAACAGATAGTGCAGTAGGTCTCTGTGATTGGATATGCCAGAACTGTAATACCTAGTAGGCCAAACAACTTGGGCCTTAACATGTGTAACTTGAGAAAATTTGTAGCAATCAAACTGAGTACCAAAATAACATGGATAACTGTATTTTTCTGTTATTGTGGTCTCCATTTTTCAGGTTCCTCCTGCAGAGATCACTCTGAACATCAGCACTCTAGGGCTGTCCCCCAGACTGATCAGCGTAAACAGTAATCTCTTCCCCTAATTTACGGTAATAAATAATCATAAAAATAATATAAAATAATAAAAAACATTATTCATAGAAAAAAGCAAAGGCACATTGTAATAAAATAGAGCATAAGGCTTGCGCATGCGTGCAAGAATTGCTGCACTCGGGAGCACGCAAATCGGGAGTGTGCCCACAGCTTTCTGGTGCCAGACAACTAGTTAAACTCAATTCAGTGGTATCTGGTTTCACTATTTCCTTGTTCCTGCTGATCTAAACCTGTGTGTTATCCATTACTGACCCGGCTTGCCATTGACCTGTTCTTGGATTACAGGCAGTTTATGCTTCAGCTCATCGGCAGGTGATCCTGACTTACTCCTGGCCACGTTCCTGTCTGATGTTTCGGTACAGCAATGTTTTACTGTGTAAAATTGCTAATAAAAAAACTATGCTTTTTTCCAATTCAGCTCTACAATTTCCTGCCGAGTGCTTGCCCTGGCGTCCCGTACATATCTCCATAGCTCCAGTTGTCACAGTGTGTTCCAGCCTCAAACGTGTTAGAAGTTCGGCAAGCCACAGATCCAGAACACTTGCAGTTCTGGTGAAGTGCTCCTTTAACCTCAGCTGGTCATTCCTGCAGCTATTCTGACCAGATGCCCTGCCTGATTTACCGAGTTTACACCTCCAGCCGCAAGTTCTGAAATCAACATCTGCAGGCACTCATGTTCCTCCTGTCCCTCGGCACCAGCTATTCCACCTTCAGTGGTGCCAGGGCTGGAGATACAAGAGAGGCCAACCTCATCAATTTAGACTTCTATCAGGTAAGTGACACCCCCCCTCATTTTCTGTAGTCTGGCCCAGCTGGAACCTTCGGCATCCTGAATGGTCATCACCCCACACCTGCTCTCCAGCTTTCTCTGTCCACTTCCTGTCCTCTAGTTCCCAGGCTTCTGTATTTATCTTTAGTAAAAGATAGATTTAGAGGTTCAAATATAAGTTACTGTATCACCCAATATATGGCTTCCATCCAGTAGCCAAAAAATATGCAGACCAAAGAAGAGATTTGTGAAAAGAGATTCACAAGAAAGCGGCTACATTATGGACAGAATGCGATACTCAGAAAAATTTCCAAAAATTATATGGTTTTAGGTCTGTGTGTATTGTCTTATACTGAGGTGATGGTAAACCAGGGCGATTGCCCGAGTGTCAATTATTAATGTGTAATAAAGCATAATTTTTGAAAATTTTTCTGAGTATCACATTCTGTCCATAATGTAGCCGCTTTCTTGTGAATCTCTTTTCACAAATCTCTTCTTTGTTCTGTATTTATCTTCCCCGCCCATCTGCCAGCTCCTCTGGGAAATGCAGTTTGCTAGCTCCATGCCAGACAGTGAAGTCCTGCAATCAGCCTACGAATCCCAAGAAGCTTTTCAACAGAGTCTGTGTAACTGGGCTGCAGGACATTGTCATCTTGTGTCCCATTTAAGATCCTGCAAACAGTATAACGGCAGGGTGTTACAAAAAGGGAATATATTTCTTTGGATCTGACTTTTTTTTAGCATTGCCCCACGTGATATAAAAAATAACCCTCAGGACCCGTTTAGGTGCCTCTCATTTAATAGTAGGGGAAGTCTCCTTGGCCTTGTGGTCTACTATAAAATGGTTCAGGTGCTACTCCAGCAATATTTCCTTAAAGTACTGGCTTATCTTGGAGACCCAGGGCCAAGGTCCTCAGGTTTGGGCAAGAGCCCAGCACCTCAAACCCAGGTAACAACCTGCAGGCAAAGACACCTGCATAAGTACACCAGAAATTTTGTTAAAGCTGTCCCCAACACACCAACAACAAGCTCAGTGGTGGTTCGCTAACCAATAAACATCAAGTCCAACCATAATGTATCCCTAATTCAGCCCTCTGGATTTCCCAACATAGTATGGTAGATTTTACATACAGTGTTAACTGTATGTAGACAGCGCAGTTTTCTGGCACAGGGATGAGAACATCCTGTCCCACTCCTGGAACAAAACAGATTTCGGCTGATTGCTGCTCAACCATTCACAGGGAGCAGGGGCGGACTGAGAGCTCATGGGGCCCCTGGGCAATAGGGGGCCATGGGGCCCCTGTGTCCTCACCCACACTCAAGCCAAACCCAAAAATGCCTATGCAAGGTACCAGGGGCATCTCATGGGGCCCCCTACTGACCCCGGGCCCTCGGGCAGTGCCCGAGTGCCCAAATGGTCAATCCGCCCCTGACATGGAGCCAGCCTGGCCCAAATTAACTATTTAAAGGGAAAATAAACATGGAATTAGGCTTTAAAGCTTTAAGCCTGAGTTCACATACATGCGGTACGTTATATCGCATGTGATTCGCACAGGAACCGCACCACATTCCTGTGCAAATCACATGCAATTTGTGTGTGGTGCGATCGGAGCCATACATTTTGTATGGCTCTAATCACACCGCACCCGCACCAAAAACATGCAAGACCCTTTTTTTGGATCCGCACTAGAATCGGATTGCATAGTTATTCACACCTATGCAATCCAATTCTGCACATTGCACCGCGTTTTGCGGACCTCTTCGGGGTGTTGTAACATACACACCCACAGTGGTTCACATAAACGGGGTGCGATTCTGATGTGGTGCGGAATTTGCACTGAAAACGCTGCAAATTCTGCACCTCATCAGTGTAAACCAGGGATAAAGAGTACGGTAATTCAACTTTCCTTGGAAAATAATTAGCAAATTAAAAAAATAGCATAGCATATACAATACTGCACAAGTCATATTGTAATTGAATGATATTAAAAATTACCTTTCCTTTTTGAATCTGCAGCACTTTAATTTTCTGTATTTACTGTCTATGGAATGCCCCCCCAAAAATGTAATTTCCTGCTTGTGTGACATGTTGTTTTTGGTGAGATAATGCAAAAGGGAAATCATATCTAAAAGGGATGCTGACCCCGCCACTTTCCTCATTAAAACCCAGCAAAATCATTCCCATACACGTTCATTTTCTACACAGACAAGCTATTTCTTCAGAATAAAAAAAGGTAGGAGTCTGCAACAAAGTTTGTTAAAATCCTTGCAATGTACATAGGTCACCCAGAGGGGATGTTTTTTTCTAAACAAAAGTGGAATTACTCCTTAACTCTAAACACAAAAATAGTAACTTCTTTGGAAACCATGTTACCAATATATTACTGTATAAAAGGAGCAATTACATAATTACTGTGATGTAAATAGCCTGCGCAGAAAACCATAGCTCCAAACGTTCTGAAATGATCAAGGGGGGAAATATTTTAGCACACAGTATGTAAGACAGCCCTACCACTGGCTCCAAAGGTTTAAAATGCAGAAAATGATTGACTATACTACACAAGTGCTTTTTTGACCACCATCTTACCTTTATTTTGGCTTTTAAAAATAACAAATGCAGTAATATAAATGTAGCACTACCCCCTTAGGAGTTGCTGAATTATTTTCGGGTTCCCTGTGGATCTGGATCCCACTCTGAAAGCCCAGCCCCTGCTGACACCACAGCACACTCTTAACTGAAATAAATTACCATCGAAACGTGATTTCACACACAGATTGAAGTAAACTAGTAAGAGATTTATAGCAAACTTCAACATGGCTTGGTTACAATATTGCATTACCGTATATTTTATTCGCCATTGCATTACTGAATATTTCATCCATTAATGCACTACTCATTGCACCCATTATGGTATTATTGTATATCCCATACCCATATTTTTGTTATACTGTTATTTATTGTAAATGGGCCATTTATGCACTTCTGGCTGGATGCTATGGCATTTCATTGGCTCTGCACATGTATTTTGCACAATGACAATAAAGTTGAAGCTATTCTATTCTAATCTAATCAAATCTAATCTAATATACAGAATTAGAATGTGTAAAGTCAATTGTTGAACTTAAGGCAAATGCAACACTTATAACAGAATCTCAATTACTTCTAGCAGGTCTGCTTTTCAGAAACTAACCCAATACCTTCAACATGAGGTGGCATTACAGTCCCCAGTGAGCAGCTAGGACTATCAAACAGGTAGACTAGCTTACTTTGGGCCCTCAGGACCTGATGGCAATTAAATAAGGAAAATAGCTCTTTACTCCAAAATAACCAATGTTCTTTAAAGGCAATGAAAAGTCTTCTGCACGCGTGATGGGGCCCAGTTAGTGCACAGTGAAGAGAAGTGTCGACATTAACTCTCTAAGGAACAGTGTATTACAGAAGAGGGAAGAATAACACTCCCCCAGTAGCAGCAATATTACAAATGTAATGTTCCCTTACGGCACTTGTCACTAGCGAATCTAAAGAAACAAGTGGTCAATCTGGTAAAGGTGATTGATGGCACAGAGCAACTCTTCTTTAGGCTGCAAGACTCTTGGCACAAAAAAGGGAAAAGTCCTCCTTAGCAGAGTGAATTGATGATGATGGTGACACAGCGGTGGCTCGGCCTGTGGACCGACTGTTCTGCTATCAGTTCTGATGATAAGGCTTTACTAAGTGTAGTCAGACAATAGCGGCTGAAGAGGAACTAGGCCACAAATTCTAATAATTATGTGCAATGTACACGACTGTGTGCAGGAAAACAGCAAAGGTGGAGTAGGTGTCAGTGTTCCCTGTCCTTGATAATGCTTGGGACTCTCTCACCCTAATGATGGCGTCTGGTGATTTCTGATGGTCTTTCTATCTCCTTCGATAAGGCCTCCACATACTCTCTGGTACTCCTGCAGCGTTCTGTCCAGTCACCTGCTAGCAGATTAGCTTTCTCCATGATGCGGCAAGATCAGCGATCAGCAGACTCTCCTTGCCTCCCTTCTCTCTCCTTCCACGGCCTCGTCCGATACTCCTGCAGTCAGCATACTCCTCTCTCCAGATCTCTCCCCTCTCACTTACTGTCTCATCTCCCGGGCTTTCATATATATTTGCCTCCACCCACACACCAGCTCCTATGGGAAATGTAGTTCTTTACTACACAGTTCCTTAGCCAAATCGTGCAGTTCAGTATGCAAGTTCCATGGGGCTGCTCTTCAGAGTGTGAATGCCACAGTTCTGCAGGATACTGCCATCTTGTGTTTGTCTTAACATCCTTTATTATTATTATTATTATACAGGATTTATATATAGCGCCAACAGTTTGCTCAGCGCTTTTCAATATAAAGGAATACAATACAGCAACAATACAGTTCAATACAAGAGGGATAGGAGGGCCCTGCTCCTTGGAGCTTACAATCTAAGAGGGAAGGGGACATCCTGCATCTATTTGTAGGAGGATGTTACACAAAGATTGGATAAAAAGTTTACTGCAGCATAACACTTTTCTTAGTAAAATAATACATTTCATACAGAGATGTAGACATCAGACCAAAAAGAGGGACAACTGAGAATGAATGAGGTATAGAGGGATTTGGTTTCAAAAGAGGAAGAATACCTCCAAATGAACTGCTATGAGAAAACTGAGCTATGAAAGGGACCCAGCAGGCCAACCCATACAGGCTACCTGTGGAAAACTGCACGAGGGAGGAGGATACAGACCAGTCACCCTGCACAAATACAAAGAGAGCAGCAGTGACTGGTCTTGTTTGCAGGAAGCTCCTGCACAAATGAAAATTTTCAAACTGGATTACTGCACAGATCTTGAAAAAAATACACAAAACACATTACGATTCAAGTAACAAGTCTCTTGGATTTATACAGTATTTGCTTATCTCAGAGTTTGGCTTTAGGCAGGCTTTAAGGAATACATCCCTACACAATAAATACAATTAACAGTAGAAAGAGTAATGATAACAATGTGGCTTCCATATCAAGTAATTTGATTCAAAGCTCTCTGCTTCTTTCTCCTTTCTTATCCCCAGACTCCCAAATTCAGTGCTTTATGTTCAGCCAGTTCCAGCTTGTTACTAGGCAGAATATTATCTGTGAAACCAACAGTGAAATGTTCTAATACAGCCAATATGTAGACAACATACTGTATGGTGGTGCATTGATTAATTGATTAACTGATTTCTAAAAGACAGTTATGTTTAAAAAATTTGGAGAAACCAAATAATACCATCACAAATGATGGATTTGCACTGGGATTTTTTGTTACTAAAGGATTTTTATCATGATTTGTGTATGCCTTATTACTATTTAAATTTAATTTTTTTTTAGGGAATGAGTACCCTGGGGTACTCCAGATTATCCAGGTGTTGCATAAGGCTAAGTTGATGAAGCCATTCAGACTTTTTGATCTCCAGAGCAGGCACTCTGTCACAGGATGTCCTGTTTTGTATTCTGGACCGCTACTTTGTTAGACAGGTCTCTTCAGTTTTGTTAGAGAGACCCACAAAACCCTGTTGAGTAGGAAGGAACTGCAGGATCTGCATCAGCTACTCTGTCATAGGGGCATGTTCATGATCGGTATATATGGCATCTTCCTGCCATACTGAAAAGCTGAAACAGTGGAAGCCCTTGGAGTTTGGACTGGAAGGGTGAGTGCCACTCTGTCCAGAGTGCAGCAGTTTATGGCTGCCATATGTTCCTGATTTTGCTGGATTGTGCATAAATATGTTGTCAAGCTGGTTGCAGGGTTTTAGGCCCTGTTCGGGTAACCCTGATTGTTCAAGGTTCTTTGTGATCTGAAGTAGTGATAAATTGTACAGCTGCAGTACAATGGATCTTGCTTGGAGGGTTTTGGCATTGTGGAGCACTAATTTGGAGATGATGAGGTCGGGAGACAGCAGATAGCAGAGCTTATTCAGTGTAATTTTTAATGCTGCCATTGCCAAGACACACTCCACCATGTAACAATATTTATACAGACATAGTGATCACTGTTCATATTGCTATACCCTAGGAAGAAACCCCCAGTCATGTACTGGGTTAACAGTTAAATATGTATGTTCGGCCATGGAAACCCATTCCATAAAGCTCTCTACGCAGTGTTGTTGTGCTAATCTGAAGGCCACACGAAGTTTGGAGGTCTTTGCTATTGACTCTGCAGACAGTTGCCGACTTCTGCGCACTTTGTGCTTCAACATGCGCTGAGACCCCACTCTGTTATTTTACATGACCTACTACTTCATGGCTGAGATGCTGTTGTTCCCAGTTTCTTCCACTTTGTGATAATACCACAAACAGTTGACAGTGGAATATTTGGTAGCAAGGAAATGTCATGGATGGACTTATTGCACAGGTGGCA